AGTCTTACCCCAACCCTGATGTCAGTCCCATTCTACAACAGTGGCACTATGCAATATTTGTCTTTTTGTGACTGAGATATTTCACTCAGCATAATGTCCTCCAGGGTCACCCATTTTGGATAATATTGCATGAGTTCCTTGTTCTTCAATGCAGCATAGTATTCCATTGTGTGAATATAGAATATACCACAGCTTCTCTATCCATTCGTTTGTTGATGGACACTTAGGTTGTTTCCAATTCCTTGCTGTTGTGAACAAAGCCGCGATAAACATGGGTGTGCCAAAAACTATTTTTAATAATGGATTTGTGCTTCCAGGGGACTCCAAGAGGGGTCCAACTAATTTCTATAGCATTCCTGCCTAAAGTGCAAAGCTAGAATCTGACAAAACTGCCCAAATCCTAAACAGAAACACTACAAATGAGCTTAATAGAATATATTGAGTGGATAGGCTCCAAATAGGGCAGCACCAATCCTAAAGCACTGTACTGTATTAGGGAAGAGGACTGAAAGAGACTCAAACTCATTGCCATTGAGTCAGAACTAACTCAGGGCTGATTTTCCAGCAGGTTTCCGGAGGCTGCAAATCACACTGGAGAATGCCCTTTCTCCTGTGGAACCGCTTGTGGATTGGGACTACCAGAGAGGCAAGGCCTTTGAGAGTAAGTAGCAAAGCAATTTCTTATGAGGAACGGAATGAACAAACAGTCACTCTACCAAAAAGATTGGCTGACATGAAATTATTTCAGGAAGCAGCATATGATCAAGAGCCAGTGGCAATGAAGGAAGATGTTCAGCACTGAAGACACTGGCAAAATATAAGGCCACACTGGAAAAATATAAGGCCCCAAGTATTGATGTAACAGCAACTGACAAATAGATGCAGCCTTGGGCAGGTTCATCTGTCTAAGCCATGAAATCTGGAAGGCAGCTACCTGGGCAACTGACTGCATGAGATCCATATTTGTTCCCATTCCAAAAAAACTGATCCAACAGGATGTGTAAACTACTGAACAATATCATTAATATCACATGCAAGTAAAATCTTGCTGAAGATTATTAAAAAACAGATGGAACAGTCAGAAATTCAAGCTAGATTCAGAACAGACTGTGGCACCAGGGATATCACTGTTGATGTCAGATGGATCTTGGCTGAAAGCAGGGAATAAAAGAAAGATGTTCACCCATATTTTATTATCTATGCAAGGGCATTTGACTGTTTAGATTATAACAAATTATGGCTAACACTGAGAAGAATAGAAACCCCAGAACACTTGTGTTCACGCAAAACTTATACGTAGACCAAGAAGTAGTATGAACAGAGCAAGGGAACACTTCATGGTTTAAATCAGAAAAGGGATGCGTCACAGTTGAATCAATTCTCCATATCTACTCAATGTGTATGCTGAAAAATCATACAAGCTAGACTATAAAAAGAATGTGATATTAGTATTAAAGGAAGATTCATCAACAATCTGTTATGAAGATGACATAATGCTGCTTGCTCAAAGTGAAGACGACTTAAAACACTTGCTGCAAAAGATCAAAGACTCTAGCTTTCAATATAGATTGCATTTTTTTTTCTTTAAATTAATTTTAATGAACATTTACAGAGATTTTGGATATCTATACATTTATTGCTACATTTTTCTCCCTGCCTACCCCTCTCCCCAGTTCGCTTTTCTCTTTGAAGAGTAAAAGAAAAATTATTTCATTGGTGTAGAATCCCCCCTCAGACCCGCCCCAAGTACACTCCACTATGCAACCTTCATTCTGGACTCTTGTCATAACCATAATACTAAATCATATATCATTTTTAAACAGTTCTCTCCCTCATCTGTTTCAAGGCAATATACATAATTTATCTAATTTTTCTAAGTCTCACCCCAACCCTGATGTCAGTCCTGTTCTTCGTGGCACCTGTCCTCCTGTAACTAAGATATTTCACTCAGCATAATGTCCTCAAAGGTCACCCATAGGCCTTCTTTTGAAGGCTAATATGAATCTTCTTCATCATTGCCACAACTGGATTTAATCTGATTCTTACATAAAGGCAGTAGTGAGGGAAACCATTCTGTTTACATCACATCTCTACGTAGACTTTTTCATCTTGTTTGTTCTTCAGCTTGGTAGCATAACTTCCTTTCCACTAGGCCAACGTAGCTCTCTTTGTCGTTCTCCTTGTTATTGTCTGGTGCCGTCAAGTCATAGACAACTCATAGCGACCCTATGAATGAATGGCCTGAGCACTGTTCGTACATAGAGTTTCCAGAGGCAAGCCATTTCAGAAGTGGATGCTGACTCCAAAAGCTTGCTATGATTCCTGCACTCACACCACCAAGCTCCTCTGGCAAGGAGAAGTTCCCGAGACCCCAGATTGCATCTTAACATCAAGAAAACAAAAATCTTCACCACTGTACCAA